GTGCTTGTTGAAAACACAGGAAAACCTCTGGTTCACATGCATCTGAGACGGTGCATTATACTGTACTGTAGAGTACCAATACACATGAAAAGTTCCACCTACATCTCAATCCGTGTCAAGCATCGATGTGTCTGTTCTATCCAAAAAAAGCCCTCAACTTTCTGGAATCACGCTCGGCTTTGCAGGGATAAACCTATCGATCAGACACTGGTTGCTATGAAAATAGCACATTTTACGGGTATTTGTATGTGCGGTGCAATCCATTCGACAATGTTCATTGCGGCCGGACGTTACAATGCGTTGGTGCATCCGCTGAAATATTCGACGATGTTCACGCGAAAACGNTTCATTGTAATTGCATGGGCTACAGCGTTTGGACACCACATGATGTCATTCCTTCGTATGTTTCGTTCATGTCCCTTGTCCACCCAGAATCCTTGAACTCCTCGCGAATCGTATTCATTTTTCTGCCTTGTTTTTTTGGCCTAACAAATTCATGTTCATGCTCTCTCCGACTTCATGTAGACGAATGAATATCGTTAGAGCCAAATTCCTCCCAAAACCAACGATTTTGCTTGAATATCATAAGTTGTCATGATTTTGCTTGAAATTCCGCCCAGACAAACCTATTGAATTGATCTCGTGAGCAGAGCCTAATCTGAGATATTGAGGAAAACGCTCGTAACACCTGCATTCTGCACAATCATCCATTTCGCCATCGAATGCGTTCGATACTGCAATCAACGCCCGATAAACAATAGCATTGATCCTTTCAGCACCATGCTTCTATTATTTTGACTTTCGACATTACGCATGGTTCCATGCGGATACTGTCTGCGGTGAATTTCTATCGTGGTTCGTTGATCTCTGCTATGGCCTCAATATGATTGCTCTAATCGTTGGTATTGATTTTGCAACATTCTATCAGCTAAGGAAAACCAGAAAGGTCTGTTCAGCTTACTACGTTCACTTTTTTAGAATCAATAAACGTGATTATCTCAACTAAAATTACCACTGCCGCAATGCTTCAAACTTATTAATTCGGTATTTCCGTAGAAATTTGACAGACTTTTTCACTTCCTGAACGACAATGGAATATGCTGAATTCTTGTTTAGATCT